GTTATCTGCTTCCAGCTCAAATGTCTGACTGTTTCGTAATTTTAAATTTTTCGTGCCTTTGTTTGCAATTACCATCGTAATCCAATTGTGGCATTTAAAAAAAAGTGCTGCCGGGTACATTGCAATTAGCGGAAGATTTGATTGAGATGGGGCTCTGAAATGTAAGCGAGAGAATCATGTTACGGAATGTGGAGTGGGGGAGAGAAGCAGGGGCTAATGTAGCTGATCTTTCTTTCGGAAGATCGGAATTAACGAACCAGAAACTCTAATCGGAATGTATCAGCAGTGAAAGAAGAAATAAGACAGAAAATCGCATTTCTCCGCCTCCCATTCGCTTTTCACTCTTTACCTGTTACGTTTCCACAAAGACTTCATACTCTTGGGGACATGCTTTGTTAGGAAAGACGGAATAATTCGTGCTGACTGTTCTAAAGATTTTACAATCGATTCCTAATTCGTCTGTCGTCTTACAGACTAATGTGGAATTAAAGTAAATGGTTATGTAGTTTCGATTCATTGGATTCTGATTGATTCAAATTGTCTGCAGAGTCCTTGATGTTCTGTGGTATGATCCAGAGTTCTAACAAGATCTCCCATGTCTGACGCCTCTTTCTTTAAAGTTTTTCAACTAAAATTCTGTTTGTATTGTCTGTATTTCTTATGCCTTAAAATAGCCCATTTCACACTACTTCATTTATATATTTTACCATCATTTGTCAAGAAATAGTGTGGAAGGCGAAAAACATTGTCAGTATGGTCAGAGACCTGCTAGAACCTTCCAGAATACAAGTTTGGTGCGTTATAATTAGACGGAGCTATCGATTATGATCTTCGGGGTTGTGATGTCGTATAGTCTTATAGGTGGTTACCAATGTTTCGGAGGATTGTGAAATCACTTCACCCTGAAGATGGAGGCGATACGTTAGTAATCCCCTATAAGACCTCGTCATCACAACGCCAAAGACCACAGTTAAGGTCTTCACCGCCGTGATAACCTCACATCTCAGGTTCGGTATTTGACTGTTGTAAGTTTATAGGCCAATAATCGTGCTTCGTATTCGGGAGGACCCTCTCTCAGATTCTCGGCCTGGGGACGCACTATCCCGAGAGGTTTTTACTGTTATTTTCTCAGTCACTTCAGGAATATGTTGGGATAGTACCCAAAATTGCACCACGACTTCTTCCTTCCTTATCCTTTCCAAGTAATTGATTAATAAATCTGTTATTCCACGTCAGATAAACTTAGCTACTGACAGCATCGTTAAATAAATCACATATAGAACTGTATTATAAAATTAAGATGTTTGTAGTTCCCCTTGAATTTATAGACTCTACTTTGAAATTGTGAAAGAAAGTCAGACGATGGTCACTCATAAGAGATGCATTTGAAAGTAATTTTTTATCTTAACTTTGGCTATCTGCGTAGTGACACTGTGCGGGCTTGTTGCAAGCTACGTTTCGGAAGAACATATTACTTCCATCTTCAGGGCTGAGTTTATTTTATTGAGAAGTGAATAGTGTGCTTTAAAAGTTTTCTATCCGGAAGAATGGCTGCTCAGTCACAAACTGTCTGAATGTTTTCAGTGCCCCTAGTTCATGTGTCAACTCGAATCAACTGAAGTCGCAGTTTTAAAGCCTTGTTGTGTTTTTTAGTCTGAAGAATTTTTTACTGAGAGAAAAGATCGGGAAGACCCCTACGTTCGCACCCGCTGTTCTCAAGAGACTTAACACCGTCTGCCTTTCTGTTGTTCCCGCAGAGAAAGTTTCACTTTGCGGCACCAAATATCAATCACTCGGAAACTACTCCGAGACACCGGGGAAGGTATACTAGTAAGGAACAGTTCTCAAAATGTTTCCGAAGTTCAGTACGCAGTTGGAAATACATTTGCATGTTTACGGCGAAGAATACGCTGTGTTTAAGAATAGACAAGGTATATGAACTTAATTAATGCATTAATCACAATATTATATTTAAAATACGCTATGTACTTTATACTTCGGAGCTTCTTTTTCGAATCTCTACGCTGTCACTGCCATACGTGTTTAGTTGAATTTATTCACTTAAAAAAGTCGTAGTAACACCTTAAAATAGGTCATGATCGCTTCATTGTACATCCTTTCCAATCTACAATTTTTAATTGTAAATACCATTGCAAGACTTATGAGCCGGGATAGCTCAGTCAGTATAGTGACTAGCTACGGGCGGGACGGCCGGGGTTCGATCCCCGACGGGGGCAGAGGATTTTTCCTCTAGCCTCTGCGTCCAGACCGGCTCTGGGGCCCACCCTGCCTCCTCTACAATGAGTACCGGGGTCCTTTCCCGGGGGTAAAGCCGGCCGGGGCGTGATGCTGACCACTCACCCCCATCTAGTGCCGAGGTTAAGAATGAGTAGGAGCTATACCTCCACTCACCCCAAACGCCTACATGGCGTGTAGTGGGACAGCTTTACTTTTACCATTGCAAGACTGCCCTTTCCTTCGTGGTATAGTTGCTTAAAATGAGAAAAATAAAGAAAAATAATTGGACGTTAATTGTTGAACCAACAATCGTAACCAAATTGGAAATGGCTGACGTAAAACATCCTCTCCAGAACTCGGGTCTCTTGAAACATAATCGTTAGGGAAATAAATGATTCATCTTTGTGTTTATATTTCCTTGAACCTGAGAGCTACTATTTGATGTTTTTTTTTTCGTTCGTTTTGGGGCCCTCTCCTTTATGTACCATTTGGGAGTTGGGGGTAAAAGAACAGGTTTCAGCATTGCCGCTGGAAGGGACCTCAAGAGCCCACATTGACACGCGGCCGATATATCCTCCGAAACTTGTTATGTTGCAGTTTCGATTCTCGAGGGAAATCTTTCGACCAGGCGAAGCACTGGGCCGACGAGCAAGTCCTCGGTGGGAGAGCGTTCTTCCGGTATACGGACGATCCTGCCAAGCTGACGGTAGAGAGCGTCCGGGAATCCGACGGAGGAGTCTATCGGTGTCGGGTCGACTTTAAGAAGTCGCCAACAAGGAACACCAAAGTCAATCTCACAGTTCTCAGTAAGTACATTTATTTTTGATGGTTCAGTGGGGTGTTTGACCCTCACTTTATGTTTGAAGGTTAATGGATATGGTGCACCTCCATTTACTGGCTGACGTTTCAGAGGTTTGTTCGTTTTTATGTAGTGTCGGCAAAATTTTGAATTACGTCTATAATTACAGTAACAACAAATAAGTAGGTCCATGATCAAAGTATTCTCGAGAACCTGATATTCCATGGAAACCTACTGTTCATTGCCTCATACGAACGAGCTCTGTATAGGATGTTATTCTTGAATCTAGTCCACATGCTCACACCCAGTTTCTTTGAGATTGGTTTAAAAAGTTTATATAGTTAGCATCACTTTTCATCTAATTTTCTGGCGCCGCGGACTGCATTCAAAAAATTTATCGCATACATTTTGATTAAATAGAATCTAGGCTAACTAAAATATAAACACAAGATTTTTGTCAAGCTTTTGCTCCAGTCTGAAAGTAAAAAATAGTGATAAAGAAAGCATATAGCCACAGTGGTCTAGCGGTTAGAACGCTGACCTTGTAATCCTAGGGGCCTCGAGTTCGATTCCCGGCGGTGCCCGAATTTATAACTTGTGTTGGGCAATGCCGTGGTCTAGGCAACACGGAGTTTTCCTCCGGGGGTTTCCCCGGTTTCTCCGTGGCATCCCAACAATTACTCCTTTCACACACAGAAGAAGGCAATGTCAAACCACTTCTGGATCATCTGCCAAGAACGTATATGAACAGGTCCCAATCCGAGAAAAGGATGGAAGGATCCTGTTCATATGGACCTGTCGTCAGACAGAACACTAATATATATGCAACAATACAGTATTAAGAAAATAAAATATTAGAATGTACTCAAATATTTGACTACTTAGGCACTGTATTTAAAGACTGAGACCTCCCGAGTACGAAGCAGGGCTGCTATTCAATCTAGACATTGGTACGAGAAAGGGAAGACCGTTCCAACGTTGTTCAGATTCTTAGATGTTTCATCAGTAGTGTTCTCGGTCTTTGAAAGTGATCGCTGGTCGTAATTTCATGTGTTTACTTCTGAGCTTTGGTTGAAATGTACCTGCCTGCCCTCAAAATCCGATCAATATGACCATAATTAAGAGTTCAGCACGATGGTGGCCACTTTATGCTTGTGAGTTTGTTCTGAAGCTGTAGAGATGAGCGTGGATGCGTTGAAAATTAATATTTCGCAGGTTTCAAATTGTTTGTGTGGCTGTCACAGTCGTATGGGGACAGAAAGAGCCCCAACCATACACTCAAATAATTAAGGTTGTCGTCTTTAGTGCTGTACGTATCTTATGGATCAAGTGAGGTCCATTCCATTCCATGTAATTTTTTATGACATTACTGCGTGTTCCGGTGACCTTATCGTTAGTGTATAGGTCCAGTATTCACATGTCTGTAGGCTCGATTCGACATACATAAATTTACAGAACGTGTTGGTTTAACTGCCGACGCAATTTCTTTCTGTTTGAGAAGTCCCGTGTCCGAACCTCGAGCCGGAGACCGGCTGGACTGAAATGTGTTTCGTGGTCTTACTCAGTTCGTCTAGGGAAATTCCGGAATAGTACCTTAAATGGGTTACCACCGCTTAATTTCGTAATCGGAAGCGATATGGAAAGAAGCATGTGGTCGCATAATTGTTCTGTTGAGCAGAATTCTAAGGAAGCTTACAGTCCTTCATCTGATGTGAACTCTAATTATGTGTTGTTCTGTATGCTGCGTGTGTTTTAAATACTAAAGGAAACCACATTTTAGTTGTCTATAAATGCATGTTTATGCTATTTTGGCTGGAGTCTCTGTGATGACCTCAACTAAGAGTTAATTACATTACTAATATTTTACAGAGCCATGCAGCATGAAATACAAAACATCCTAATTTGTATGTTTACTTTATACATTTATTCTTCTGTTTATTGTAGAAACGCAATTTTAAGGGTTATATAAAACAGCTAATTTTGTTATTTACGCTCTCAGAGAAGGGAAAGGGCATTTACGGTCGTTCTTTCTTTGTGTGTCGAAAGCTGAGATATTTTCGTGCCGGCGTGTATGTGTAAAAGGATGCTTCAACGCAGATATTCTGCTGCTGAATCTTCCTTTGATCTTTTTACCGAAGAATTGCATTTCCTTTCTCCCTGAGGATATCGGTTATCTTTGTGATTCCAAATCGGGAGGAGGAGTTGTGTCATCCGACCACAGTTCTGGAAGATAGCAGCTGTGTGAAAGAAAGGAACAGGGAATTATATCTTCGGTATGAATTACTCTGCGCCATGGAATTTCTCCGTAGTTTGGTACTTATACGAGCAATATGTATTACAAAGAAACAATTGCATTGCAGTGATATCTGACAGTTTTATGCGATGACTTTTTCCGCATACTAAGTTAAACTTCGCGTAGCTTATTCCTGTTGTAAATGGTCACATCACTATTATTCTATGTAAATTATCCATTAAGTTTAATTAACTATAATCTGTATATGTTGTTAATACTGTGTCACATAGCGTAATTCACTTTTTCCTGACCTACGATTTCTTTTTCTGTATAAATTGCAGAAATAAATTATTTCAACGCTAATCATCATAATGGTTTAGGTCTAACCCAGTTTCTAGTTAATCTTATTACAATTGGTCCTTCTGTCTTTCGGTGGGATATTTCGGAGTTGTTCTTACTGTGAGGCAGATTTTTAGTCGTTATATGATGTAAACGATCTTGGCGTTAAACATCTGAATTCAGCCGTAGATCGGGAAATTCTACCCCGTATACAGGTGACAGATTCACTTCCCAGAAGAATGAAAGTATGGGATGTTTGCTTGCGCGTGTCGCTGGCTTGGTATTCGGTCGCCGTGTCCTGTTAGCCTTGTATTTTTCTCTTAGAAGATATCCTGTCGTCAGTCTCGCTCTCCAATTGCCGTAACCTCTCTCAGCCAGTTTGGTGTCGTAGAACTTCCTCGTGTTTTGCCTTGCTTTCTCATTTCCGTTGGTTCAAAGCCTCCAAGTTCTTCAGTGTGAATTCTCGTTGGATACGCGTGTGAGTACAGATTAGCCACCTTGTGTTGATCGTGAGGCCATGAGTAGTGGACCTGCAAAAAATCAGTACAAAGGCTGCATGTGTAGAAGGACGGGGAGGTCTTCAATATCACGCGAAACTATTCTGCCCAGCAAATCAAGCGTTTACATCTTTATGCCCGGACTACACTAAAGGAGAGCCAGTTTCGTAGTGTTGGAATAACTTCAGCGCTGAAATGGAGGCATTACGGTCGACCTAAACGTCGGGTATCACCTAAAGCAGCAACGTCAGAACTCAGAAGGCCACAACAGATATATTGACTGTGCTGACTAATTACTATTTAACGACGCTGTTTCAAGTTTGGAGTTATTGTACTACCGAATGAGATATAGAGCTGTTTAAGAATGGTGATTATAAAGAGGAGATTGTGCCCTGTTGTTGGTTTTGCCCTAGAATTTTCCTGAAGATGCTTAAAAAAATGAAATAACTATATTACAATAGGTGTCGACGATTGCCATTTCACCGGCTTGTCCATTCAGTCTGTATTCCTCCCTCATATAGACCAAGCTTCAGTGGCGATAAGTGAACATAAGAGACAATGATGAAATCGATGATAATTACATTAGGGAGTGCGTGAAGTACCTGCCACAGTGCAACTCTGCCCAGCATAATTCTCAAAGAGAACGTGGAAATCCTATAATCCAGCCACATGGCGATGGTCCCTGTTTCTAATAGAAGTGTATTTTAATGTGATTATTGTATACTTAGCACAGAGGGACTGACGACGTTTGTAAACATTGACCAGAAATGTGTTCAGATAGACAATGGGTCACCCGTCCTCAATGATTAAGGATTTGATCAGAATTCGTATTTATAACTGCTTTCCAGGCACCGAAAGTTAAACTTATTGCGTATTTTGGCACTCTTTGTCTTGTGCAACAAAAAGACCATAAATGTTTGGTCATTTTATATAAATGAATTTGCAATAGTTTTACTTTCAGAGTCAATGTGAAATTATCTATTTATGAAACAAATACGTTTTAAAGTAATGATTTTGGAAGAACGTGTATTACCTATAAATGGATAAGTAACTGTTAAACAAGTACGATCATTAATAACAACTGCATTATATCTTTTTTGTTGTCTGTGTTTTAATATATTAAGTAAAGTAAAGTAAAGTAAAGTTTGTCCCACTACACGCCATGTAGGCGTTTGGGGTGAGTGGAGGTATAGCTCCTCTCTTCCTTGACCTCGGCACTAGATGGGGGTGAGTGGTCAGCATCACGCCCCGGCCGGCTTTACCCCCGGGAAAGGACCCCGGTACCCATTGTAGAGGAGGCTGGGTGGGCC